TCAATCTTAAAATTCAGCTGGTGGCAAACTGCTTTGCGCTCTACAGCCGCGCGAAGGTGAATGACAGTCGTTTGCGTGTGCGTAATCCTTGCATATTGCCTCCAGTGAATATACGAAATGCCAGACTGCATATGATATGGTTTATTTTGGTATCAGACACAATCAACCACTGAATTTTTTCTCAAAATCTATACTATAGAAACATGCTGTGCCCATATAGTGATCTCTTATGAAGGTGATCTATTAACGACCCAGGCAATCGAACTAGAACGGTTTGTCTGAGAATAGCAAATTTTATATAATTGTTACAGGATGGGTCTTCAAGGAAATAATCCTGGAACATACTTTGCCTTCTCTTTGATCGTGATTGTCTCAATTCTCGGAAACATGTTGGTACTTGGAGTCATAGTCTTGAAACGGGACGCGCTCAAAAAACCGTACAACATATTCATCTGTAGTTTGGCTTGTACAGATGTCATTACAGCTTTGTTCCTAATATTCAGTCGCTACTTGTATCTTCCTGACATGCCTGAGAATAAGTTCGCGGCATCTCTCTTCTGCAGCACGATCTGGAACGCGTGCGTCTTATTCGGCCTGGGTTATGTCTCTATTTACACATGCCTCGTACTAACGATTGAAAGATGGTTGGCAATCGTAAAGCCGAACACTTATCGAAAAACGAAACCGAAGCACGCTGTTGTGGTGGTTGGAGTTGTTTGGTTCTGGGGGCTCCTGGTTCAGGCGACAACACTCTTCCGCGCAAAACCTGATTTCGAGAAAGGTTTGTAAAAGTTTAGTTTTTGATGAAATCCTTGATGCGCGAAATCCCTGGTTTATTCCTAATTTCTTTCTTTGGCAGGAACTTGTAAGTGGGTGAAATTGAGCATCGGTGAAGGTCCATTTCCGTATATTGACATGACACTTCAATGCATCATTCCTTTCTCAATAATGGTTGGTTTATACTCTCACATGCTCTACAAGGTGAAGAAACTGCCATATCTACTACAAGGCCGTGGCGCATCTATCACAAAACGTATCACAATCCTAGCCCTGGCTGCTTCCTGTGCCCTAATCATTGGCTGGCTGCCAAGTCGTGTTAGTTTCATGTTGAGCAAGCTGAATCTCAACGATGCTAATGGGCTTTAACACATTTCTGGCTGGTTGTCTTCTCGTTCGCCAATTCCTCTGTCAACCCTGTACTTTACGGCATTTATAGCTCGGAGTTTCGTAATGATTACAAAGCGTTGTTAAGGAGGATCTTCTGCTGCATCAAAGGCAGCACTACAGTCTCACCTGTCGCAGAAATGTCGCAAACTGATTGCTCGGTGAATTGTGTCACGGTTGCTGAATTCAAAGAAACAAAGACGGCAAACGGCGAAGGATCTCCGCCTAAAATTGCATGGAATAAAATGCAAGACACTTTATAGACTTACTTCTTCAAATTGTGTGAGATACAACGAGGCAAATTGATATAAGTATAGTAACTGCTAGTCAGCTAGGCCCCTGCAGTAAGTGTAGTCCGCTTATAGTTCACCTTATCGGAGCAAAATTAAATGAGGATTCTCTTCATTTTGTGCTCATCAGTTATTAATAAATGGTGAAATGTTTGTTCAAGAATAATATGTATATATTTGATTAATATACTCGTAGTATGGAGTTGTAATAATGATCTTATATGCTGAAATTTTGTGTGATGTAATAAAAAATTGAAAGGTCTGCAACTTTCATGATTTTCGACTATCAATACAGAGCAAGGTTCTGAATGGTGGTAGTGATGAAGGCGATTACTTCTGGTATAATTGACCCGGCCCAGCGGTAAGTCAGGAACCCTTATGTATGACTACCTCTAGGCAGAAATTCTTCATAAAATGTAACTGACATCCAGTTTTTACAGAGATCTGTGATTACGACATAATCGGGGCTCCGGCACTAAAAATGGTAATAAGTTTATGTCCAGTATACACCAATAGTAAAATCGCACTTGTTTTTAGCTGGCATATATACATCAATAGCCATAATTCATCATAGATACCCATCATAACATATCAATATACATCCTTACACGCAACTAGGCATTGCTAGACATCATTGCATATCACTGGACATCATTATACATCAATGGACATCATTATACATCACTGGACATCGCTGGACATCATTATACATCACTAGACATCATTATACATCACTGGACATCGTTATACATCACTGGACATCATTATACATCACTAGACATCATTATACATCACTAGACATCGCTGGACATCATTATACATCACTGGACATCACTAAGCATCAATAGACATCATTATACATCACTAGACATCATTATACATCACTGGACATCATTATACATCACTGGACATCATTATACATCACTGGACATCATATATACATCACTGGACATCATTATACATCACTGGACATCATCATATACATCACTAGACATCACTATACATCACTAGACATCATTATACATCACTAGACATCACTGGCACATCAATTATACATCACTAGACATTCATTATACATCACTAGACATACCAAGCATCAATAGACATCATTATACATCACTAGACATCGCTGGACATCATTATACATCACTGGACATCACTAAGCATCAATAGACATCATTATACATCACTAGAAATCGCTGGACATCGTTATACATCACTGGACATCATTATACATCACTAGACATCATTATACATCACTGAACATCATTATACATCACTGGACATCATTATACATCACTGGACATCATTATACATCACTAGACATCATTATACATCACTAGACATCATTATACATCACTAGACATCACCAAGCATCAATAGACATCATTATACATCACTAGACATCGCTGGACATCATTATACATCACTGGACATCATTATACATCACTGGACATCATTATACATCACTAGACATCACTATACATCACTAGACATCATTATACATCACTAGACATCATTGGACATCATTATACATCATTGGACATCATTATACATCACTAGACATCACCAAGCATCAATAGACATCATTATACATCACTAGACATCGCTGGACATCGTTATACATCACTGGACATCGCTGGACATCATCATACATCACTAGACATCATATACATCACTAGACATCATTATACATCACTGGATATCACTAAGCATCAATAGACACCATTATACATCACTAGACATCGCTGGACATCATTATACATCACTGGACATCATTATACATCACTAGACATCACTATACATCACTAGACATCATTATACATCACTAGACATCACTGGACATCATTATACATCACTAGACATCACCAAGCATCAATAAACATCATTATACATCACTCAACATCAATAGACATCATTATACATCACTAAACATCATTATACATCACTGGACATCACTAGACATCATTATACATCACTGGACATCACCAAGCATCAATAGACATCATTATACATCACTAGACATCGCTGGACATCATTATACATCACTGGACATCACTAAGCATCAATAGACATCATTATACATCACTAGACATCATTATACATCACTAGACATCATTATACATCACTGGACATCACCAAGCATCAATAGACATCATTATACATCACTGGACATCATTATACATCACTGGACATCATTATACATCACTAGACATCATTATACATCACTAGACATCGCTGGACATCATTATACATCACTGGACATCACTAAGCATCAATAGACATCATTATACATCACTAGGCATCGCTGGACATCATTATACATCACTGGACATCATTATACATCACTGGACATCATTATACAACACTAGACATCACTGGACATCATTATACATCACTAGACATCTTTATACATCACTAGACATCACCAAGCATCAATAGACATCATTATACATCACTAGACATCGCTGGACATCGTTATACATCACTGGACATCGCTGGACATCATCATATATCACTAGACATCATTATACATCACTAGACATCATTATACATCACTGGACATCACTAAGCAATAGACATCATTATACATCACTAGACATCGCTGGACATCATTATACATCACTGGACATCACTAAGCATCAATAGACATCATTATACATCACTGAACATCGCTGGACATCATTATACATCACTAGACATCACTAAGCATCAATAGACATCATTGTATATCACTGGACATCACTAAGCATCAATAGACATCATTATACATCACTGGACATCGCTGGACATCATTATACATCACTGGACATCACCAAGCATCAATAGACATCACTAAGCATCGATAGACATCATTATACATCACCAGGCATCACTGGACATCACTAGACATAATTATGCATCACTAGACCTCACCAAACATCACTAGACGTCACTGGACATCACTAGACATAACTAAGCATTACTAGACATTAGTGAACATCACTCGGAATCACTGAACATCACTAGACATCACAAGGCATTATAATCCATCACTAGACATCACTAAACAGAACAAGACATCAGTAGGCATCACTAGACAGTCACTGAACATAATTAAACATTTATGTTAGTATCCTAATACTTCATGAAGAATAATTCAAAAGAAATACATCATCAAACGATTTTTCTACTGATTTACTCATTAAATTTCAACATGACACATGCCAAGGAAATTACGCACGCGCACATTAGGCAAAAAACCATGTGACTCAATTTGGCTTCAGTTTCATATCTGTGTATATGATTATGAGCACATGTCTCTGAGCTTTGCTAAAAATAAAATACTTGTTTCTTGTTGATGTCAATGCCAAATGGAGCCTGTTGATGAAGTCGAAGCGGCTTGTGAAGAGGTAGATCCCAATAAGCTTATATCTAAGAACGGTGTTCTTGGATATGAACGTACAAATGGGTTTGAAGAGATAACAAATTTCGACGTAAAAGTCGATGGGTATGTTGGGGATGGAGAAGGGAGTGTTATAGGGGTACATCATCCGTATAATTTTAGCAGTGAGGGATCCATTTATATCGGCAGATAATGACAGATCGTCAAGGTAAGATGTGTTGTTAATTTTTTTCTGCACCCACCTAACCGGCAGCTAGCTATGTATATTTTGTTAAAATAAACACTGCCACTCAAACGTAATTTTGTTGTTTCGGTGCGTATTAAAACAGCACTTAAATATCATGAAAAGTATAAAAATTGAAGACTGGCAAGCTTTTTGTTATGTTTAAATTAATAATAGAGGATATTAGGCGGTGATTTTTTCTTCGAGTGGTGAGTAAAAATGTTACGCATGAGCGCAGAAAATGAGAAAAATATAGTTCTCACCACGACTAGTGCGTCCACGTTTTTTGTGCGCATGCTCAGCAAGTTACCAGATGCATTCAATGCAAACCCATTGGATAAAACTGCTCGCGTAACTTGCCGAGCACCTGCAGTTTATCAATTTTTTATCGTCGGCTTTAAAGAAAGCTGGGTACAGAATAACATAATTTTCGGCAGTGTTTACAACGTGTAGTTCCAACTCTGTATCTAGATTTACTCTGTAATAATACATATAGCATATTACACTGTCGCGTGAAGATATATATGTTATTTACCGGCTGCGAGGTTCGGATAGAAAAATATTTTTCAGGGAAATAGGGAAATATTTTTCTATCCGGAAGAACCAAAACGGTAAATAACGTATTTATTTTTTTACAAAAAGCGGCGTTCGGTCGTATCGTAGTCAGACTCATAAAATATAGGATTCCGGACAGTGGTCAGATATCGTAAAATTCCACCCCCTGCTACAGCCAATCAGCTTGCAGGAAAGATTGCAGGGAAGATTGCTCATTACCATAGCCTGCGTCTTACCGGCGTTCACCGTTAGATAGTATCATAGTTGTCAGAAAACTAACGATCAAGAATATTCACGTCCGTGTTGATGCGAACTAACAAGCAAACTCACAGGCAGAATATAATGCGGTCCCGAATTTGGCGTGGGCACCGCAATTCCACTGTAATCACCGAATTATACAGTATAGAAATTTAAAAAATTGATAGATATAAATGTATGATTACCTACTACAAATGTGCAAAAATCGCTAACAAAAGCTAAAACTCGGCAAATTTCAAGATCCGACTTCAAGTTCATATACGACTTCAAATTCGATCGGTCTTCGAAAATAAATGTTTATTTAGTCATTTGAGTTTACAAATAGCTTACGTGCATGTTGATTTTTATAGAGTATTTTACAAATATCTGCTGCAAGTACTTTGTGAAAACAGGGGGAAGCATGAATCACTACACTTGCTTGGAATAGAATCACGGGCAAATTCCATAAACCAGAATTTTCAATTTCTAGGAAATAAATATTACTTATTGGTTATTAATAATTCGGTTCTTTTAATGACTGTTTTCTAGGCAATTTTTTTTAACCAACCGGCAGCTTGGTAACAACACAACGATAGTAAACTGCCTCACTGCAAAATTCCCACCGCTGTGGATTGCCCAGTCAAAGGACATGTTTCTGCCGCAGTTTGTATACAGTCTATGCAAGGAGTACATGAAAACTCCAAGTGAGGAAATAAAAAGTTTCAAACCTGTAGAGGTAAGTAATTTGTTGATTGTTGCGCAAATGCGTTTTCTGTTTTTAGGGCATTAAGCTTTCGTGGCATGAGCCACGAAAGCTTATAAGGTTAATTTGTGGGTTTGCATGAATCCCATGCTTTCTAAACGCACTGCATTTCACAGTTTTGAAGCTGCGCAAAGGCCACGAATGGACTATGACTCGTGTCCAGCACTATTAGCATCTGCGGATAGCTGTTTCGCCCTTTTGCGGCTAAATGGTGATATATATTACCGTAATTACTCGAATAAACGCCTCCCTCAAATAAACGCCGCAGGGACAAGCAAAAATATCATTAAATGCCGCCCTCAGTGTTCATGCTATATTTTATACAGATTGTTGGAAAACAAAAAACTGATGATGTATGGGTTTTTAATCCACATGTGCATGTCGACAAGAATGGAAGGCTTATCCCGCAAGACGAAAGAGCATATGTTTCGATGGAAGCAAGTAGCTTGCCATATTTACGAAATATTAGCAGTGGTAATAAATACATGTACCTTCATATGCCTTCTTTTTTTATCCATTCAGTAAAGAATTAGTCATCAGGGTTTATTACCGGTATACAATAGACAGTTATGGATAATCTTCGCAGCTATCTTCTCCGTATAACTTTAATAAATAGTGTTATCGTTAAAAGTAATAAGTACTAAAGAATTACTATAGCTTCTTTAAAAAGATAATTTATAAAAATTACACTGAATTATTTTCCTCCAAAACTCGAAAGTATTTAAATTTGCAATGAAGAACGTTGATTTTGAAACTCAGTAAATTATCATTAATTGCACCTGAGCATTAATATTAGTTTCAATCGCTAGAAGGTAAAGAGTTTTATAATTATGTTTAGATTTAGATGATGGAGCAGCATTTAAACGACTTTTGGTCACGGAGAAGGCGTTGTTTCAAAACAACTATCCCCAAGTTGTGTTGGCCCATGCTGGCAGTAGCATGGCGTGTAATTATGATCTTATATTAAAAAAATTTGATGGATGTGCCATTCCAGTGCTCATGGGACCATCAGTATCGGGAAAGACTACCGCCTTGAAAGCTGTAATGAGTATATTTGGCATACGAAAATTTACGTGTGGTTAGTGGTTTTACTCATATGGCCAAATAAATGCATGCTATACTTTAGATACAATCTTGCATGGACCTTGAGTTGTGACGATTATTCCAAATGTTGCATCTATTTCAAGTTAACGATTCACCCAAATTTTTTTTAAACTTAAAATGTTTGTCTGCTTACAAAATAATTAAATAAAGTGCGTTTATTTTGTTCTTATAGTGCTTCATGTGACTTCAGTTTTTCGGGTTTGATCATTATTTGAGATAATGATCACTATTTGCCTTTTGATGAACTACTCCCTAAATTCCTGTGTTATACACTATAGCCAAACCGAATGAAAATTGCCGTGCCGAACGTTGAAACATGATCGAGCATCTCAAATTTCTTGAAATTAACAAAGAATTAATAAAATATATGCACCTCAGTATAGACTCCTAAACACCATATGTTATAGGCTTTAAGCCCCGTTTACACTACACCCGATTTAAAGGTACGCGTGCCCATTTTAGCCGTGCCGTGCCGATAAATAGACTGTAGTGTAAACGGGGCTTTAGCAGCTATAATAACTAATTGCTATGAACGTAGACAAAACAATTAAGCCATGTAAGCAAAATATAACTCAATATCGCAAGCCAAGATCTTTAAAAACTCTACAGGGGTTAGACCTAAGTTAACAATCTTATCAGGTTTTTCAAGGGTAAATATGCCTGTAATCCGTGAGTTAGGTTGCGTGGCTTAAAGTAGCTTATAATACAAAACGTTTATGATGCATCATTGCCAAGGTTGTATTCAGTTCGCTTTATATATAAATTTGTTATCGTACTACTAACAAACTTTTGTGACCAAGTAAGTATATTGAACTTGTTAACAAGCTTTATTTTTTTCAGAATCCAGCAGCAGATATATAGAAAATCGACAAAGCAACACAACTATTCCATTTGGTTGGGATGATGCGTCCGATATGAAGGTCCTAAAAAATGTTTCAGTCAATTCTTTTAATGGCGTAAGTATTATATTGACCACATATTTATGCGTTACGCATAACCATTACCAAAGCTCCAGGATTGAAAATGAAATTGTGTTTCGAGCAGCCAATCAGCGTACGTGTTGGAAATTGATTGGATGACAATTAGACCGTGCACACGTATAACGCTTTTGACTGTTTTTGGTTTTGCGCAGAAATGACAGCAAACAATGCAAAAGCAGTAGCAATCAATTTGCAGCAGAAATTAAATCTAATTTAATATATTGAAAAAACTTTAACTCGGACCGCGTGAACAATTAATTAAGCGTCTTAAAACGATAATGAAAAGATGCAAAAAATTACAGTCTTATAGTAACTTGGTATAGGTTTGCAATTTCACGCATGTTTGTATGTAATTGTCTGGTAATCATATTGACCCACCCAAAATAGCAAAACAGCAACTTTATTATTCATACTCACATCACCCTACACTCACAGTAGCCCTTTACACTCCGCACGAAGTCTTGTGAAATCGAAGTCCAGCCCAGTTTTTTATCGCAGCGATCACGATTGTTATACGATTATATAGAAAATTTTTACTTTTAGCCGTCCCAGTGAACATATTTATACAGCGATCGTAACGATCATACTGAAACCAGGCTTTTGCAAGCCGTCTTTAATTAACTTGTCTACTTATTATACATGCACTCTGTAGTGTGGAAGTTCCACAATGAAGAACACCTTGCAGCCGCATACTGTTCCCGTGGTCTCCACGAACCTTGACACATCGGAAAAAAAGTATGTGTGTTCATACAGTATAATCACTATAATACTGCGTATATGTGAGAGTATACACGATCCTTCGGGTTAATGCCAAAATAGTTATAAGATTCTTCATTATATGTCAGTTAGGTGGGTTTCACTATAAGGTGGGTTTTACTATTATTTTTGAAGTACTTGAAATTAACCACGAAGTTAACGCTAAAATTTTACGTACATGACTGATCTAAACGTATAGCTATCATTCATATAGGATTAATTCTCGGTGGTTGCGAATTGAATTTAAAGCACTTTCGCCAAGGCTAACTGGAAAGGATAAAGTCTTAGCTGAGATGAATGTTAAAGCAGCTATGAATGAAGCGCACAAAAGCATTTGCGTTGTCCTACCTGTATGCATAACAATCTCGAAGAATGCACAGAAAACGACACTTACTTCACTATTTTGGAAGAGCTAGAGGAAGAAATAGAAAAAAAGGGCATGCAAATTGATGATAGAGTCAAACTTATGATGGGACTTCTGCTTTTCTCTGCCAAAAAGGTAAATATAGTATGTAGTATGTAATACTGAAATATGTACGGATTAAATATAGCCTCATAAATTAGACTGTCACAGTGTCAGTGTATGCATGTCAGTGAAAATGCGGACTATGTATGTGCATGTTTATTTTATCTCCAGTATCTATCGTATGAAACTGAATAATACAGCCGTAAAACGCAGGGTTTGATTGAAAACGTTCTATAGGATCCAGTTTAAAATAGCAGTTGCCTAAATTTCATATACTGTACGTATAAAAGACGTGATAATCTGTATTTTGCCGTTGGAAAACAGAGCTACAACGACGTCTAATATTTTAGTTACTATAATTTCCGGATTTATTTTTTCTATTATATATAGTCTGGTATTATAAGCTTTTCTAGTTATACCCTTGTCCTGTTTGTTGAAATTCTCAAATTCTCAATTGTTCTTTATGTTCCTGTAGTAGGTTAAGCTTTGTTTAAGTTCGCTATTATATATCATTATTTCTATGCAGATTTTGGAAAAAGTTGATCTAGCTGACGATTATGTCTTGGTATGGGAGACAATGAAAGAAGTTATTTTGCCAGGCTACACATTAAGAGAATCAGAACAGCAGCCCACATCGAATGAGAAGTGTCAGAATAATGCAAATGTAATTCATAAACTTCTACATGATCACTTGCTCCCTTTAGCGGCCAAAGAGGATCCAAATTACGTATGTTTTCTTGCTTCTTTTACTTTTTAGTTGCATATTATTTTAATTTCACACGCGCGCTTACATTTTAAGCCATATAAATCCATAGTAGAAACTATGAGCGTTACCAAGAAAAAATAAAAATAAACTAGATAATATACAGTCATTTAAAATAAGGTTGTTAAGACCAGAATGTTTCGCCAGCCTCTTACTCATGGTCGGAAAGCCAGAATATACCGGCAAAGCATTAATCTGGTTTTAGTAGCCTAAATTATGCAAATAAACACTATAACCCTGGGTTAGCGTTAACCGGCTTTTGAACAACCGGCCCCTGTATCCTTGCGTGAAGTATACAAATATGATAATTATATGCCCACTTGATTTTCGATGTGTTATAAACCTACTTAAAACTATCATTTTGGCCCACTCTGTTGATATTGTTCAGTCACTTTGACTATGGTCTATAACAACCATAATTGAAATAATCTGATATAATTTCCTTAAATTTGCAAAGGTGATGCGTTTTATTGATAATGACCATAATCCTTCAAAATGCACATGCGGAAAGTCGGTGGTGTTCCACGTTAAAGATGTGGTGGAGTTCCTGAGAAAAAAAGCGTCAGTAACTGGCGATCAGTTATTGTCATCAGTAACTGAAAATTCAGTTCGTCGTTTCATAAAATCGAGAGATATTGGTTGCGTTGGGGTGCAAGTACGATTCCGACGGAGGCCCAAGCAATGTAACGCGGCACATATACAGAGGATCTGGTTTGATCCAAATGACCTCTCTGTTTTGGATGAAAGTAAGAATACAAAAGGCGTCAATTAATTAATTAATACGATGACATTTGCCTGTAGAACTGTTGAACAGGCGTTTAATTAATTAACAAGACGCCCGGTAGGCGTTAACTCGGGCTGTGTAGCCGGTAAATACACTGCACTGAAACTGAGCTATATTGATACACTGTAAGTACGCGACTGTCCGCGCGGATGACTAAGCCTGCGACACGAAAAAAAAATAATAATCGCGAAACCTAGACTCGGCTAGACCTAGACCACAGTAGCCCGAGTAATTAATATTACGTAGCTACTATTTTCGGTTATATATATAGCATCTCCTTTATTTGATTAAATTTATTTGAACGTAATAGTTTTACTGACTGAGTACTTTTTAGGAGACCTGCCTATTGTTCAGTATACGCTTTTAATTTAACTTTTGTATTTTATTCACAGAACTTGGGAAGAGGAATGATAAAAGTGGGACAAAAGTGCAAACCATTCTTGACAACGACAGTGTTTTGACAAATGTAGAAACCATTCTTGACAACGACAGTGTCTTGCCAAATACACAAACCATTCTTGACAACGACAGTGTCTTGACAAATGTAGAAACCATTCTTGACAACGACAGTGTCTTGCCAAATGCACAAACCATTCTTGACAACGACAGTGTTTTGACAAATGTAGAAACTATTCTTGACAACGACAGTGTTTTGACAAATACACAAACCATTCTTGACAACGACAGTGTCTTGACAAATGTAGAAACTATTCTTGACAACGACAGTGTTTTGACAAATACACAAACCATTCTTGACAACGACAGTGTCTTGACAAATGTAGAAACTATTTTTGACAACGACAGTGTTTTGACAAATGCAGAAACTATTCTTGACAACGACAGTGTCTTGCCAAATACACAAACCATTCTTGACAACGACAGTGTTTTGACAAATGTAGAAACCATTCTTGACAACGACAGTGTCTTGACAAATGTAGAAACCATTCTTGACAACGACAGTGTTTTGACAAATACACAAACCATTCTTGACAACGACAGTGTCTTGACAAATGTACAAACCATCTTTGACAAGGGTGCCTTGGCAAATACACAAAAAACAGTTGAAAATGACGTTCAAAACCTTAAAAGCAAAGACAGCAAAGGTGGTAAAAGAAAACGGAGAATGGCAGATGGTTTGTTCGATAAATTGCACAGTGGACTCAAAGGTATATTATATGCACGTTCTAATTTACTCCTCACATTTATCACAACTCACAAATTGAGAATACTGACCCAAACCATATTTTTAGATAAACGTACACGAAATGGTAAATAAGGTTAATTACATCGATGGAGCCGGAGTGTTAACTGCATGGTGTTGCTGTAGTACTTGTGGACTACGTGATCTGGCAAAGTTGTTAAACATTATTTAATATGTTTTTGTGTTGAAATTTGGTTGGCATATATGGGCGAACATAATTAGAGTGTTAAATGCTGAACGCAAATAGCGACGAGATATTACATACTTCATTATAAGTTGCTTCATGCAATCTTAACAATATGTCAATGTTAGCATATGTCTTGATATAAAAAACAATAATCAATAAAGTACTTGAGTTTTAACATCAACATTGTGGGACATAAATAAATTAATTAATGTGAATATAAACTATATGCTAAGCCCATTAGTGGAAATGACACATTATGTCAACTTGATCTTAAGCCTTGTTTAAACGTTACCGGACGAATTTAGGTCTGAAATTCGTTCATTTTCGCCTGTTTACACGCAAATTTGTTCTTTACCGTGTATAAACAAGGCCTTTGGCTTGGTGGTCAGAGCATTTCACAAACATCGAAAAGGCGTAGGTTCAATTAGCCATTTCCCAATCGAGCAGGGTACTGTGTTTAGTCGGGAACCGCAAAGCATCCATGGACTGTTTGGAGGGACAAATGATTTCAGACTTATATTTCCTGTTCCTCCAAACAGTCCATAGATGCTTTGCGGTTCGCGACTAGACCCAATCCCCTGCTCGATTGGGAAATGGCTAATTTCTGCCGGACGGCCAATAGTTGATGAATTCTTTTCAACTGTCCCTGGCGTGTATCAATTTCCACTCAAAATTAAGACCAATTTAACCTATTCTTATTTTTAAATGCTTACTTTTATACGGCGCAAATCTCAAAACCGTCAAATTTCAAAGTCCTTTTTGAGTTTTAAAACCTTTTTCCAGATGAACTCTTTTTGCCATTTTCTCAGTGGTAAAACAATATTTAAGTTAAATAAGCCTTCTATGACACCAATGTATAAACTGTAAACCGTTTCAGCATCCCATAATGTGAAATAACCAGATCGAAAAAAGTTGATAATAGAACACAAAACACAGACTTCCAAGAAATTTGTAGTATTTTCTTCAGGTGTAGATCCACTAGGTAATATATTTTTTTGCGTCTGTAAAATGTGCTTAACACGAGGCGAAGATTTGGTTTTCCTTCTAACTTTGACGACTCTTGTCTTGCAAGTACATCCACCACATTTACCAACGCACTTGCATCTGTCGCAACAAGATTTAAATTTAATCATGCAGTTGCATCGCTTATAACTTTTATATTTCTTTAACGGCTTTGCTTTTCTATTTTTCTGCGCTTGTGTCGTTTGTCCACACCTACAACCTGTTAAAAGCAATTTAGATTCATCGTTTTCAAACTCAGTAAACTCCTTATGACGTTTCACGTGAAAATTACTCGTTTGAGCGCGCCCCGAGAATAGCAATGCTGTTGATCAAAGCTGATGAGATTACAAATTGTTCACCCCTTTTGTCTTGCATGATGTGTTTCTTTGTTTTGCCAGCGCGTCGTCGAGCTGGCCGCGTAGTAAATCGTAAACTCCCTATTTTTATACAAGGGCGTACAATAGACCTTTTTGGTAATTACGTCACAACTACATGGAAGCGACGCTGTGGGGCCAGGAATCGCTTATGTAATATAAAAATATTATATCTTGGCCCCTTAGCCTCCCTTCCATGTAGTTGTGACGTAATTACCGAAAAGGACTACTTGAAACTGCACTGACTTGTTGTCAGCCAGTCAGGCGCTCTAGCCGGCGCGCTGAAGCCGGAGTATCTTGCTTTCTAATACTGTTTTTCAGTAAATTTAGAACTTAACAATAAAATGGCTGCGACTTGAAACAAGGTTAATGCATACTGATTTATGTGCATGCATTGTTTACAAATACATTACAAATCATGAAGCACTTAATTCTGTTACAAGGAATTGTCCCTATTCATTACTCTATCTTTAGCAGCAATGTGCGCAATGTCGAGCCCTTGAGAGTTTTTTTACTATCATTTATTTCTTACTGCGCATGTTTGTTGCGAATTTTTTAGACAATAGTCATAAAAATCGTCTAGTGGAGAACCGTTTTCTATTAAGCTTCTGTTGTACTAAATATTAGCGCGCTATAAGGGGACAATGGGATTTCCCATGATATATTTCTTTAACAGGAAAGAAAAAGAAAGAGAAATTTCCCAGGATACTTGTCATTTCTTATACAGACAGTTCAAAAGTCTTTTCCGATGATATATCAAAAGAATCCCAAATGCAATATCGGCGAACGTCGGGCACACTTCATGACTTACGAAATTTTACAAAAAATACGAACAAGATTTAACGCCCACCGCCGTGCCGGAATGCCGCTGAAATCTCATCGATTTTTGGCTTATTGAGTATTATCGGACAAGCCACAGAAATTCTACATACCTTTACGTCCAGGTGTTGATGATTTAAAATTTTCTTTACAGTCCACTACATTACGCGACTCTGTTGTGTCGACAGTGCCTAAAACGGTAATTATATTAATAATGTAGTAATATAGTAACTGTTAATATGGGTATGATAAAATGAATTGCAGTAAATTAATTGGTAGATAATGATTATTATTACAATTAGATGTGACCCTACCCGATTAATAGCAAGTTCACATTCCGCGTATTCACATGCACATACTGGGAAACAACAATACCTGAAGGATGCAAAGGTACTATGGGCGAAACTGCGTTATAGTGACCTGGTCCTGACGACGTATATGCCAAGAAAATTGGTGTTGCGGTCATGACAAACCCACGTGGACATACGTTAATTATAGGAGTGCTGGGTTCCGATGTTATTATTCCGAGTGGAATTCCCAATACATTTGCCATTGCCATTGGCATAAGATCACCGAGATTACCTCCAAAAAAACCAGGCCTTTCGTAATGTTCGACTTCAGATAAGTAGTCCACATTATCTGGCAAAAAACTCGCATAATCAGAAGCGAAATCACCTCTCCATTCTTGGACGATTAGATTCCTCAATCTTGTCGATAATTCTTGCACAGACATTGTCGGTAACAAACCAATGTCCCTAAGATGATCAGCGATTACTTTGTAAGCTCCTTTGTTCAATACAGTTGAAAGGTGAAATGCAACAGCGGTAAAGAAGCAGTTCCCATCACCTGGAACCTCCACCTCTTCAAGTCCAAAAAATTGAAGATGTCCTGTGAGTACCGCCTTTGTACCATCTGTAGTTGCCGCAGTGGCAAAATGTGAGCGCATGTTTCTTAGTGCATTAAAGGTATTTCCATATTCAAGACCAATTAGATGTGCAAGATTAGTTTTCAAAAGTAAACGCGTTCCTCCAATGTGTTCCAAACCTTTATATAATTCATAAAAAATAATAGCTGAATCAGCAATGGCCATTGCCATATTATTATCTCTACCTTTGTTTTTGGCGTATGTGTGTTCATCTTGAATATCATCACTTGTTTGCAGTGATGATGAGATAGCGTTTCTGATATTACAAATTACTTCTTCGCTCAACTCATCTAACGACTTGTAAATCATAACATTTTTTTCTGGTATAATAGCTTCTAACTCACCACCAATCTGTCTAAAAGTTTCAAAACCGAAATTTTCCACTCGTTTGGAAAAGTCCGGTGGATCTTTTGAACAAGCCATAAGTTTTTTAATTGAATTATTTCCTTGGTTATTAATTTTGAAAAAAAGCCTGGAGCATCTTACGTATGCGGTCTCCAGTCCAATTTTATTTATCTTTAGAACATTGTTCATATTTCTGTGAAGTCGTTCATTTCGCGATGTTGATACATTAACAGGGATTCCACTAAGGCAGCCTTTCACAATATGCAACTTTATATTGCAGATAGCTTTTTTTGCCGCTTGATTCAAAATATATTCTCCCTTCCACGTCTTAGATTTCCACCATCTTTGGAAACTTTCAAGATTTGCAATTAATGTTTCTTTATCGGGAGTTGGTTGTAATCTTTTGATTCCAAGATCATTTGATTGGCGAAAAATTAATCCGTACCCTTTGCATATATCTGTATTTAATCTTATTGCCATAGGTAAAGTGGTTACAAATCGCTGTACAGCGTGAAAAAGATCTAATTTTACCAAAATGTTTGGAAAGAATTGGGACTGAAATTGACTTCTCCATTTACAGCAATTATCAATGACAATACCTTCTAAATCAGTATTTAATCGTTCAAACCTGTCCTTAAGTTCTCTAAAAATGCCACTTACTTCATTGAATGATTCTCCTTTAGTAAATCTCCAATGAATAATTTTACCGTTATTGTCCAAAACAATAAATACACATTTCATCAACTTTATCCAGCGTCCGTCGCTCTCTCTAGTGAAGCCAATGTTGCCTGCACTTTTAAACGTGTGATCGCATGCAAGCCATCTAGATGTACGACAAGCCATGTCGTCGTAAAAGAGCTGATCGAACAACAAAGAATACGATACAAACACTGATCTAATTATTTTTTCGTGTGGGAATGGAAACGCCTTTTGATCAAATGGCGGAAAACTCTGCCTCTGGATAACGTTTTCACTAAGTTTTAATGTTGAGCTGTCTTGCTCGTACCGTAACCTAAGACGCCAGTAATATTGCTCATATTGATTACACACAATATCCTCGATCGAATGAAAACTTAAACCATTGTCGACCATTGAAGATAGCTGGGTTAACATATCAACTGTGAAACCCGCCCGATTAGTTAGGAAAAATGGAACAAAAACCGACGATGGAAGCGCAGAAAGGATCGATGGATGATGCGCAGGAACTTGATGATTTGACGAACAAAGGTAAATATGAGAAACAAGAAGGATCGCAGAATTTGTGTCATAAACAACTCGAGGTTCATATGATGAGCTGGCCCATGTTTTATCTGCCCACTTTCCAGATCTTCGTAAACAGGTTGCCGAACAAAATGGACATGAAAATCGAGAAATAAGGTCAGGATGACTAAAAATCACGTCCCACAACAAGATAGGAGGAGATGTATACCATTCTGTATTGGGCAGATTGTCAGACCTAGCGCTGGGCCATTCCCTCACAAGCAAAGAGCCGGACGGACTCTCGCAAACAGCCTCTTCAAATAATTTAATCGCCCGTTTAATCTTAACAATTGTGATTTCCGAGATATCCATGCATCCACAAATGCAACTGGAGCTCAAAAAAACAAAAAGAAACAAAAAACATTTTGAAGAATCTTTACTGAGAATCAACATCATAACAGCGAAAATGATCTGGTAACGTAATGATCTACGCCTCACTTTAAGTGATGTCTGGTAATGTCCAGTGATGGTTAATGATCTCTAGCGATGTCTAGTGATATATGTCTAGTGATGTTTAGTGATGGATAATGATGTCTAGTGATATGTCTAGTGATGTCTAGTGATGTATAATGATGTCCAGTGATGTTCAGTGATGTTTAGTGATGCATAATGATGCTTAGTGACGTCTAGTGATGTCTAGTTATGTCCAGTGATGGATAATGATGTATAGTGACGTTTAGTGATGTATATAGTGATGTCCAGTGATGTCCAATGATGGATAATCATGTCTAGTGATGTACAATGATGTCTATTGATGCTTAGTGATGTCCAGTGATGCATAATGATGTCTATCGATGCTTAGTGATGTCCAGTGATGCATAATGATGTCTACTGATGTCCAGTGATGTATAATGATGCTTGGTGATGTAGAGTGATGCATAATGATGTCTAGTGATGTAGAATGATGTCTATCGATGCTTGGTGATGTCCAGTGATGTCTATTGATGCTTGGTGATGTCTAGTGATGTATAATGATATCTAGTGATGTATAATGATGTCCAGTGATGTATAATGATGTCCAGTGATGTATAATGATGTCTAGTGATCTATAATGATGTCCAGTGATGTATAATGATGTCCAGTGATGTATAATGATGTCCAGCGATGTCCAGTGATGTATAATGATGTCTAGTGATGTATAATGATGTCCAGTGATGTATAATGATGTCCAGCGATGTCTAGTGATGTATAATGATGTATAATGATGTCTATTGATACTTAGTGATGTATAATGATGTCAGGTGATGTATAATGATGTCCAGTGATGTATAATGATGTCTAGTGATGTATAATGATGTCCAGTGATGTATAATGATGTCTATTGATGCTTGGTGATGTCCAGTGATGTATAATGATGTCTAGTGATGTATAATGATGTCTAGTGATGTATAATGATGTCTAGTGATGTATAGTGATGTATAGTGATGTATAATGATGTCTAGTGATGTCCAGTGATGTATAATGATGTCCAGTGATGTATAATGATGTCCAGCGATGTCTAGTGATGTATAATGATGTCTATTGATGCTTAGTGATGTCCAGTGATGTATAATGATGTCCAGCGATGTCTAGTGATGTAGAATGATGTCTATTGATGCTTGGTGATGTATAATGATGTCAGGTGATGTATAATGATGTCTAGTGATGTCCAGTGATGCTTAGTGATGTCCAATGATGTATAATGATGTCTAGTGATGTCTAGTGATGTATAATGATGTCTAGTGATGTATAATGATGTCCAGTGATGTATAATGATGTCCAGTGATGTATAATGATGTCTAGTGATGTATAATGATGTCTATTGATGCTTGGTGATGTCCAGTGATGTATAATGATGTCTAGTGATGTATAATGATGTCAGGTGATGTATAATGATGTCCAGTGATGTATAATGATGTCTAGTGATGTATAATGATGTCCAGTGATGTATAATGATGTCTATTGATGCTTGGTGATGTCCAGTGATGTATAATGATGTCTAGTGATGTATAATGATGTCTAGTGATGTATAGTGATGTCTAGTGATGTATAGTGATGTCTAGTGATGTATAATGATGTCCAGTGATGTATAATGATGTCCAGTGATGTATAATGATGTCCAGCGATGTCTAGTGATGTATAATGATGTCTATTGATGCTTAGTGATGTCCAGTGATGTATAATGATGTCCAGCGATGTCTAGTGATGTATAATGATGTCTATTGATGCTTGGTGATGTCTAGTGATGTATAATGATGTCTAGTGATGTATAATGATGTCAGGTGATGTATAATGATGTCCAGTGATGTATAATGATGTCTAGTGATGCTTGGTGATGTCTAGTGATGTATAATGATGTCTAGTGATGTATAATGATGTCCAGTGATGTATAATGATGTCTATTGATGCTTGGTGATGTCCAGTGATGTATAATGATGTCTAGTGATGTATAATGATGTCTAGTGATGTATAATGATGTCTAGTGATGTATAGTGATGTATAGTGATGTATAATGATGTCTAGTGATGTCCAGTGATGTATAATGATGTCCAGTGATGTATAATGATGTCCAGCAATGTCTAGTGATGTATAATGATGTCTATTGATGCTTAGTGATGTCCAGTGATGTATAATGATGTCCAGCGATGTCTAGTGATGTAGAATGATGTCTATTGATGCTTGGTGATGTATAATGATGTCAGGTGATGTATAATGATGTCTAGTGATGTCCAGTGATGCTTAGTGATGTCCAATGATGTATAATGATGTCTAGTGATGTCTAGTGATGTATAATGATGTCTAGTGATGTATAATGATGTCTAGTGATGTATAATGATGTCAGGTGATGTATAATGATGTCCAGTGATGTATAATGATGTCTAGTGATGTATAATGATGTCCAGTGATGTATAATGATGTCTATTGATGCTTGGTGATGTCCAGTGATGTATAATGATGTCTAGTGATGTATAATGATGTCTAGTGATGTATAATGATGTCTAGTGATGTATAGTGATGTCTAGTGATGTATAATGATGTCCAGTGATGTATAATGATGTCCAGTGATGTATAATGATGTCCAGTGATGTATAATGATGTCCAGTGATGTATAATGATGTCTAGTGATGTATAATGATGTCTATTGATGCTTAGTGATGTCCAGTGATGTATAATGATGTCCAGCGATGTCTAGTGATGTATAATGATGTCTAGTGATGTATAATGATGTCCAGTGATGTATAACGATGTCCAGTGATGTATAATGATGTCTAGTGATGTATAATGATGTCTATTGATGCTTAGTGATGTCCAGTGATGTATAATGATGTCCAGCGATGTCTAGTGATGTATAATGATGTCTAGTGATGTATAATGATGTCCAGTGATGTATAACGATGTCCAGTGATGTATAATGATGTCTAGTGATGTATAATGATGTCCAGCGATGTCCAGTGATGTATAATGATGTCCATTGATGTATAATGATGTCCAGTGATATGCAATGATGTCTAGCAATGCCTAGTTGCGTGTAAGGATGTATATTGATATGTTATGATGGGTATCTATGATGAATTATGGCTATTGATGTATATATGCCAGCTAAAAACAAGTGCGATTTTACTATTGGTGTGTATACTGGACATAAACTTATTACCACAAGTATTCCTTCACAAAATGGCGACTTTGTCAGAGAGTGATAAACGAATACTTGAAATTATTTTCAATCCAACCAAACATTTGGTTATGAAACTCAAGCGAACGAAAACCAGAGAACAGAAGAACATATTCAAAATGGCCACGTGGAGACAGAGGCCGAAATAAAGCAAAAGAATTGGAAATGATGGCTGTGCGTCATGCAGAACAAGGAGATATTGAAAGTGCATTGAGCTTGTTGAATGAGGCGGAGAATTATTGTTCTGAATCACCATCTGTGTACATAATAGGGCTCAAGTGCTGTTACTCAAAGGTATATATACTTTAAATCTTCAGAAAAACGTATATTGATTAAGCAGACTGCATAGTTGATCAAAACATGTTCTTCCAAGAAATATTGACATCCTCCATACTTGGAAAATGTTTCATGGAAGTAGAAATAATAAGATCAAAAAATAAATAGATATTTTTCGTGTGTACAATAGCCATTCATGGCCACAGTTGCCAGGTTCTAAATACATAATTGCAACATGAATTTGGGAGGAAGCATAATAAGAGTAAACTCGTACTGATATTTAAACTCAATTTTGGTTTAAGGTGACAAAGAGTCTGCAAGTTCAGATCTTGATAAGGCTCTTGAACTAAGTCACTATGAGGGAAATGTAGCGGGTCAGGCGTTCACACAACGAGCTTTGATTCACAGACTGAATGGTGACGACGATGCAGCATTAGAAGACTTCAAAAAAGGTGCGAAAATGGGAAATTCTTTTGCTAAATCACAAATTGCAGAAATGAATTCATACGCTGCCCTTTGCAATCAAATGCTTGCTCAAGCTATTGATAAACTAAGAAAGGGGGAGTCTGATGAATGATGAAGACTAAATAAATATTCAACAAATTTACTGTGGAAAGATTTAATGAAATATAAACACCTAATAGACATAGTCTTAGAGAAATTGTTTATTTTAAAGCATATCCACTATAAGATAAATTCTATGCAAGTAGACAAATGTAACTGGAAATGATTTTCCAATCAAAGTTGAAGTAATCATGTTTCCTATTGAACCATAATAAAAGTGTATAACACTAATTTTATTATTTAAATCAGTTAAAGCTCTAAGGTTTTAAATATGGTCTGTTAAGATGTTTCCAAGTGCTTGGATGTTGATCTTGCAGTTTTTTTGTTGTATTTCGTTTCCATCTCAACCATAAAAATCCAATGCAAACACATATTACAGTTTCAATATAATATCCATCAATATCTGTTATGCAAGTTCCACCAGAATCCATACACAACTAAAAAGATAAACATGAATCATAAAACAGTTTTTGGCAAATGTCTATCACCTGCTTTGTCAGCTTTTTTGCCAGCTTCCACAAAGTTATTTTTCAAAGATTTTACCTTTTCATCAAGTTTTGTATTGCAGCTAACATCAGTAGTATTAGTAGTTCCAATACAAGATTTCCATGTTAAACATCAACAAACCAAAGAGCAGTTGTGCTGGTCCATACTCCACCAAGATTACTCAGTGTGTTAAGCAAAGTCATATACGTTCCACCCACGGCTGGGTCACTCACGCGTGCAAAGAATGTCATTGCCGAAACAAACATGCAGTTTGCTGTTACCTAAGAAAAGAACAGTGTTCATCCCAATTTATTTGGTTTGAATGAAAGAAGTGTTGAGAGGGTTCGCTTTAGGAAGACATATTGGGGAAGGGTGGGGGGAAGGATGTTGGAGAAAGGGTGAGCAATAGCCAAGCTGTGAATGTAGGAAAAGAATAGATATTTCAAAGGCATTCGGAGTGAAGGGTTTGCATTACTTTTAACAGTGTATCCTCACCTGGTGTAAAGCATAGAATAACAATAGGACAATATAGAAATATGTAGGAAAGTCATGTTCACCAGGAGCACGTACATGATGTGCCCACCAAACACATAAACAAAACACAATAGACATTAACAACCGTAAAGGCATTGCTTTGAGGGAAATATCTAAAGGTCTTGGCCCTGAAAGGAAAATAGAATATTTTCAAGTTGTTGATTTTGTTTGAAAAAGATTG